ACTAGAATCACCACTCTCGACGGGTCTGACCTAGAGTATGTGGACAACTACAAATACCTAGGTGTCTGGTTAGACTGTAAACTCTCCTTCCAGACTCACATTAAGAATCTCCAATCCAAAGTTAAATCTAGAATCGGCTTCCCATTTCGCAACAAAACCTCCTTCACTCATGCTGCCAAACATGCCGTCGTAAAACTGACTATCCTACCGATCCTTGACTTCGGCGATGTCATATACAAAATAGCCTCCAACACTCTACTCAGCAAATTGGATGTAGTCTATCACAGTGCCATCCGTTTTGTCTCCAAAGCCCCATACACTACCCACCACTGTGACCTGTACGCTCTTGTTGGCTGGTCCTCACTACATGTTCGTCGTCAAACCCACTGGCTCCAGGCCATCTATAAATCACTGCTAGGCAAATCCCCGCCTTATCTTAGCTCATTGGTCACCATAGCAGCACCCACCCGTAGTCTGCGCTCCAGCAGGTATATCTCACTGGTCATTCCCAAAGCCAACACCTCCTTTGGCCGCCATTCCTTCCAGTTCTCTGCTGCCAATGACTGGAACGAATTGCAAAAATCTCTGAAGCTGGAGACTCTTATCTCCCTCACTAACTTTAAGCATCAGTTGTCAGAGCACCTTACCGATCACTGCACCTGTACACAGCCCATCTGAAATTAGCCCACCCAACTACCTCATCCCTATATTGTTATTTATTTTGCTCTTTTGCACCCCAGTATCTCTATTTGCACATAATCTCTTGCACATCTAGCATTCCAGTGTTAATACTAGTAATTATTTTGCACTATAGCCTATTTATTGCCTTACCTCCATATCTTGCTACATTTGCACACACTGTATATATATTTTCTGTTGTATTTTATGACCTTATGTTTTTTTTACCCCATATGTAACTCTGTGTTGTTGTTTTTATCGCACTGTTTTGCTTTATCTTGGCCAGGTCGCAGTTGTAAATGAGAACTTGTTCTCAACTGGCTTACCTGGTTAAATAAAGGTGAAAAAATAAATAAAAATAAAAATAAATAAATACTCAACTAGTCTCAAGAAGACCAGTTTTATTGCTTCTTTAATCAGCACAACAGTTTTCAGCTGTGCTAACATAATTGCAAAAGGGTTTTCTAATGATCAATTAGCCTTTTAAAATTATAAACTTGGATTAGCAAACACAACGTGCCATTGGTGTGGCGCAGTGGTCTAAGTCACTGCATCGCAGTGCTAACTGTGCCACTAGAGATCCTGGTTCGAATCCAGGCTCTGTCGCAGCCGGCCGCGACCGGGAGACTCATGGGCGGCGCACAATTGGCCCAGCGTCGTCCAGGGTAGGGGAGGGAATGGCTGGCAGGGATGTAGCTCAGTTGATAGAGCATGGCGTTTGCAACGCCAGGGTTGTGGGTTCCATTCCCACGGGGGGCCAGTATAAAAAATAAATAAAAAATGTATTCACTAACTGTAAGTCGCTCTGGATAAGAGCGTCTGCTAAATGACTAAAATGTAAATGTAAAATTGGAACACAGGACTGATGGTTGCTGATAATGGGCCTCTGTACGCCTATGTAGATATTCCATAAAAAATCAGCCGTTTCCAGCTACAATATCCATTTACAACATTAACAATGTCTACACTGTATTTCTAATCAATTTGATGTTATTTTAATGGACAGAAAAATTGCTTTTCTTTCGAAAACAAGGACATTTCTAAGTGACCCCAAACTTTTGAACGGCAGTATATATATATATATATATATATATATACAGAGGGGAAAAAAAGTATTTAGTCAGCCACCAATTGTGCAAGTTCTCCCACTTAAAAAGATGAGAGAGGCCTGTAATTTTCATCATAGGTACACGTCAACTATGACAGACAAAATGAGAAAAAAAATTCCAGAAAATCACATTGTAGGATTTTTTATGAATTTATTTGCAAATGATGGTGGAAAATAAGTATTTGGTCAATAACAAAAGTTTCTCAATACTTTGTTATATACCCTTTGTTGGCAATGACACAGGTCAAACGTTTTGTGAAAGTCTTCACAAGGTTTTCACACACTGTTGCTGGTATTTTGGCCCATTCCTCCATGCAGATCTCCTCTAGAGCAGTGATGTTTTGGGGCTGTCGCTGGGCAACAAAGACTTTCAACTCCCTCCAAAGATTTTCTATGGGGTTGAGATCTGGAGACTGGCTAGGCCACTCCAGGACCTTGAATTGCTTCTTACGAAACCACTCCTTCGTTGCTCGGGCGGTGTGTTTGGGATCATTGTCATGCTGAAAGACCCAGCCACGTTTCATCTTCAATGCCCTTGCTGATGGAAGGAGGTTTTCACTCAAAATCTCATGATACATGGCCCCATTCATTCTTTCCTTTACACGGATCAGTTGTCCTGGTCCCTTTGCAGAAAAACAGCCCCTAAGTATGATGTTTCCACCCCCATGCTTCACAGTAGGTATGGTGTTCTTTGGATGCAACTCAGCATTCTTTGTCCTCCAAACACAACGAGTTGAGTTCTATTTTGGTTTCATCTGACCATATGACATTCTCCTAATCCTCTTCTGGATCATCCAAATGCACTCTAGCAAACTTCAGACGGGCCTGGACATGTACTGGCTTAAGCAGGGGGATACATCTTGCACTGCTGGATTTGAGTCCCTGGCGGCGTAGTGTGTTACTGATGGTAGGCTTTGTTACTTTGGTCCCAGCTCTCTGCAGGTCATTCACTAGGTCCCCCCGTGTGGTTCTGGGATTTTTGCTCACCGTTCTTGTGATCATTTTGACCCCACGGGGTGAGATCTTGCGTGGAGCCCCAGATCGAGGGAGATTATCAGTGGTCTTGTATGTCTTCCATTTCCTAATAATTGCTCCCACAGTTGATTTCTTCAAACCAAGCTGCTTACCTATTGCAGATACAGTCTTCCCAGTCTGGTGCAGGTCTACAATTTTGTTTCTGGTGTCCTTTGACAGCTCTTTGGTCTTGGCCATAGTGAAGTTTGGAGTGTGACTGTTTGAGGTTGTGAACAGGTGTCTTTTATACTGATAACAAGTTCAAACAGGTGCCATTAATACAGGTAACGAGTGGAGGACAGAGGAGCCTCTTAAAGTAGAAGTTACAGGTCTGTGAGAGCCAGAAATCTTGCTTGTTTGTAGGTGACCAAATACTTATTTTCCACCATAATTTGCAAATAAATTCATTAAAAATCCTACAATGTGATTTTCTGGATTTTTTTTCCTCAATTTGTCTGTCATAGTTGAACTGTACCTATGATGAAAATTACAGGCCTCTCTCATCTTTTTAAGTGGGAGAACTTGCACAATTGGTGGCTGACTAAATACTTTTTTTCCCCACTGTATATATATATATATATATATATATATATATGCTTACTCAGCTGTGCCTGCAAATGATCTATTACCAGTGTGATCATATACCTAAAATGTTTAAATAGTTTTTTCAAATTGGTCTGAGAAGAAAAACTTTGGCAGTGCAATTCAAGCATGTATTGTGCCGATAGCGTACTGCACAAACCTCTGCTACTGTACTGTTTTTAATTGGTTAATGTTTGACTCAGAAAGTGATCTTGACTCAGAAAAGATTGTTGACCCCTGGTCTAGGATAGGATATTGTAAAGTGAGTCCTATGGAGGGAAAGTGTAAAGCATAGAAATAGAATCTCTAGAACAGGAAAGAAACTCAGACCTTCTTCTATTGTCTTTAAGCCTAGAGACAGAGGGATCTGGGCCTCAGCTGCCAGACATCCAAGCCAGGCTATTAGGGTTACATTTCCCAGTGGATCATGCAGTAAGCGATGGCTTCCACAGAACAGTGGTCTTTACTCAAGTCTTACATTAGCCATTCCACTATCTTCTCTCTAGTGGAGAAACAACTATTGTGATATAATTTTTGTGTTTGAGATCAACTACATTGCAGTCGGGCCACGCAGAATCACTGATCTACAAATCACCTTGCATCCCAACTATCTACTCATTATTTGATCAAGATTAGCGATTCTGCGATTAGTTTCCAGGTGTATGCTAAGCGTCCAGTCGGCCACTCGGTTTTGCAGTCACCCTACAATAACAATAAAACAACAGCAAACTTTTTTTAGTTAGTCCCAACTCGCACTCGTATTAATACAATGATGAGTAGACAGAATGACAGTATGTCATACACAGAGTGTTCATATATGCCACTTCAATGGCTAAATATGGCTGCCGGGTGCATTAATGGGTAGATGGCAATTTGTGTCTGTTTAAAGCACTATTCAAAGATAATCCGGCGCAAAAAAACAAAAAGCAATTCATCTTTTAAAAGGCTTTCTCTGCTCCCGAGTAGCACCAGCTAATGGATAGCGGAGGTCAACTCTGGATGGATTTAGCCCCGGACGGCTCTTATGGCCGCAATTAACATTCTAAGCCCTGAGCCTTCTGCATTGTTAAGTGAAAATATGCATAATGCTATTCACCGGCGAATGGCTGGGCTTTTGGAGATTATTTAATATCTCTGGCTACTTGATGAGCACAATGCAACCACTGTTGAACCGCACACAGCCTCTTGATCTCCTTTTAAGGCTGTAACATGGCTTCCTTTTTTCCTGTGGTTAATTTACTTCTCCACAGGATATTACTTTACATGCTTCAAAATGCAAATTTATGCGAAGCGCTCTTCAGGATATGAAATCTGTTTCATCACAGAGCACGAGGGTACGTGTTGAAAAATTGCAGGGCTGCCTTCGCAGAACTGTGTTAGATATGACGTATTGACGTTCAATAATGACTACTCAATATGTTTTTGGGTCACTGTGTACAAACAAAGTTCTACAGCTGTGCTCGGTACATGTATGTACTGCTCTGCTTCTCGACACTTTTCAACAGTACATGTGAATTGAGACTAATGGATTTGAATAGGGTCCAACTACTGGTTGAAGTGCTGTGATAAAGTGAGTGTTTTGAGGTTGACCTAAAGGGTAGAAGTACATGAACCTCTTATGTCATCTCACCTGTTACCTCATAATTTCTTACTCCAGGAGCAGTATGTTTTTGTCCACGACGCCATCCTTGAAGCCTGCCTGTGTGGAAACACGGCCATCCCAGTCTGTGAATTCAGAGCCATATACTATAACATTAGCAGACTGGACCCACAGACCAACTCCAGCCAAATTAAGGACGAATTTCAGGTTAGCACCCTCCACTTCTTAACTCTCAACTCTCTGTCCGTCTGTCTGCCTGTCTATGTCCCTCTGTCTGTCTGTCCGTCCTTCGCTTTTCTTCGTAAGAGGCATGGCGTTAGCCTTTTCCCACCTAAAAGGAGTTACATTTGCTGTCTCCAAGAGCAAGGGATTTTTTTTATCCATCAGTTTTGATTGAATTATAGCACTTAAATTCAGGGATTTTGGTGGGAATTCAGGTATTATATGTATATTAAAATGTCACTTTGTTTTCTTAGAATGCACTCATATATATATATTTTTTAATGGTATCAGGTATGTGTATTTATTTATTGTTAAAGAAAAATCTAATGTGCCTCATTTGCATAAACACACCGGATGTATTTCCATATATTAATAAATTAGCATCAAGGGGTGGAACAGGCCTGCATCCACCGAAAACTTGTTCTGTCTAGGCCTACCTGCACTCACCTGCACTGTCTAGACTGCCTCATTGATTACTGTTGTTGTCATGTTCTGTTGCATTATTCAACAAGTGTGTCAATAGCAGGATACCCTTGGATTAAACATCACACTCTTGGATCTAGATTACACCTATCTAAACATACTTTACATTGTTTGCAAGATCAGACATAGTATCACTATAATCCGAGTGTACATTTTTGGAAGTTGCTTTCATTTCAGAGCATCTAATTTATAAACATTTCAACTGTATTAATTTATTACTTTTTTCAATTACAAAAAAAAATGAACACCCATCAAAAATAAAGTTTTCTTTCTTCTCTTTCTTGTGATGTAAGTATCGAGACGATGCGTTTAATCCCAGAAGCCGCTTTAGCGTTCTTATAGATGCAACAGAAAGACAATGTATTCAATTGCTTGACAGGTCATTATAAACATTTCCGTGGTCATTGCGTTAATGTGGAAAAAACGACAGGCACAAGCAAGAGTATGAAAGAGTCGCAGGAGTAAAATGAAAGCAATCAATCCAGCAAGATTCAAGTGACGTGGATTTTGCACCCCTCAAACACAGGAAATACAATAGATGGCTGAAAAAGACAGATCCTCAGGTGGTCAGGGCATGCACGTTGCTAGCCTATAGGTTTTAGCTCAGAGAGATTCTGTAATATGGTCTTGTGCCTCGCGAACAACTCTGGTTTGATTGTTGATACCCTATCGGTTACATGAGGAGTTATGACAAAAAGTACATGTGTCAAAGATGAAAATATTCAGCAACTCTTGGTAAGACAATGGAGGTTTCCTTATATAAAAAAAAAGTGATCGTTTAAACCTTATAATAATTGTCAAAATATAATCTTCCCTCTCCAGACTCTGAACATTGTGACTCCCCGGGTGCGGCCTGAAGACTGTAGCGTGGGACTGCTCCCCCGGAACCACGACAAGAACCGCAGCATGGACGTCCTGTCTGTGGATCGATGCCTGCCTTTCCTCATCTCCGTGGATGGAGAGTCCAGTAATTACATCAACGCTGCCCTCATGGACGTAAGTTCATCTCTCTCTCTCTCTATCCCTGTCTCTCTCTCTGTTCCCTTCTGTCTCTGTCTCTCCTTCACTCTGTCTCTCTCCTCTCTTTCTTAGATTGAGCTTGCCTTGTCCCAAAGGTGCAAACCCTGCCTATATGGCACTCTATAGCCAGGCTCAAACAAACGCTCAAAGATTTCAAATACTATTTGAACCCATGCAGGTCTGCACAACACCAATCATGACTGACCAAATTGTGTCAGAGACTGCCAAGTAGCGTAAACCATTGGATTTAGCTTGGCTGAAGTAATCCAACCTTGCAAAATACACAGATCAGTTAGTTTGAGATATGCTTTGGTTCTGTTGTCTTATTAATTACAATAGGGATATTATGTTTTGTGTTTATTGCATTTGTTGTGGGGAAATGGGGGAGGCAGTGACTGGGTACATGCAAATGCAACTCAATTAGATAACAGGTTAAAAAAATGTAATGTCATAAAGCAACAGCAATAAAATAGATAACAAACAACATCATCTAACAACTGATCGTTATCCAACACACCATTAAGTGATAGCACTGTGATAAATGATAAGTAATGACTGTGAAGCAGCCTCATAGGATCCAGATCAGCTACACAGAGCTGATAAGAAAAGAACGGCAGACAATAACAAGCACGGGGGTGGCGTTAAATAAAACCAGCAGTGTCTTTCCCAGACCCGGCCTGGCTGGCCTGCTTATCTGGCAGCAGCGTAATGACCTTTAGTGGGATTTCTCTTGTCAATGCATCACGATGCATTGACAAGAGAATGCAGGCTCTTTGTCCTCGACCACGAGTTGATCAGGTATTGGAGTCACACCGTGACCCTTGGCTGTTAGCGGTCCCACCAGCGTCTCTGCTTGCTCCTCTCTGCTCTCTCTCTCTTTCTTTACTCTCTCTCTCTCTTTCTTTACTCTCTCTCTCTCTCTCTCTTTACTCTCGCTACCGGGGGCTGAAGTGTTGTGTTGTGTGTTATTGTTTTGTTTTTTTCAGAGCCATAAACAGCCAGCAGCCTTCATCGTAACCCAGCACCCACTGCCCAACACGGTGGCCGACTTCTGGAGGCTGGTGTTCGACTACAACTGCTCCTCGATAGTAATGCTCAACGAGATGGATGCCGCACAGGTGTGTATTGTTGACCCCCGGGGTTCGCACACACTTATGGGTGTATATACATAGACACACACACACACACACACCTATAATCTCTTCGACTATCGGTCTGCCGTGGGGATCTTACACATGCTCTATTGCTCTCTGTTCATCTCCATCTATCTCTCTATCCCTCCATTGTCATCTCCACCTCCGGCTCTCACACACACAGTTTCATAGGGCAGGATAAGCCTCATAGGAGAGCTTCTCTTTTCTCTGCATTGAAACCCAACAAAGAGCACATCAATACCTCCCATATTAAAGGATAATTTCACTATTTAGGAACCTAATCTGTGTTTTTGATATTTACATTTACATTTTAGTCATTTAGCAGACGTTCTTATCCAGAACAACTTACAGTTAGTGAGTGCATACATTTTCATACTGGCTCCCCATGGGAAACGAACCCACAACCCTGGCGTTGCAAGCGCCATGCTCTACCAACTGAGCTACACGGGGGGGATATAAATGTCATGTTATAGTAGGGTCCAGTTCATGTTTTTTGGATGCCCTAGAACTCCAGAATGAGGATCAGGAAGTCAATCGCTGCTGTAGTAAGTTTCTCAAAACCAAGTGAAATTGCTAAAAATGTGTCTGGACCCTTTATAACATAACGTTTACATAACAGATACAGATTAGGTTCCTAAGTAGTGGAATTCTCCAACTGACTGAGGGTTAACTGGTTTTGAAAGGTTGGAACCCTTCAAAAGCTGTAGACTGGAGGATATCCCATCATGGCCCTAAGATGTAGGTGTACCGTGCAGAGGCCAATAAGGTCAAGGCTTTTCTTTTGTATGCACATAACCTTCAATTGATTATGCCCAGCATTATGACCTTGCATTTGAAGTCAGTTAGCGATGGTTTTGTTCAAATGGCTAAAGCAATGTGTAGTTTATGTCATGTTTTTGGTGCTCCCCAATGGGTAAAATCCCCAAGTAGTCAACAACAGTGTCCACACCAGTATGTGATGTAGCTAACACGTGATGTAGCTAACGGCAGAACTACAACTACAATATACATTCACGTTCAAGTCAATATTCTGTGATGGGTGCACCGACAGCGATATTAAATGTACCCATAGGAGTAAAGCTATTTCTAAATTCTATTTCCATGGCTAAACCCTTCTTCAATCCCTAGTTGTGCATGCAGTACTGGCCCGAGAAGAGCTCCTGCTGCTATGGCCCCATCCAGGTGGAGTTCATCTCAGCCGACATCGACGAAGACATCATCAACCGCATCTTCAGGATCTGCAACATGGCCAGGGTCTGTATCATGTTTATCATCCTGTAAACATTTAGCCTCTGCTTTAATCCCTGCCAATGCGTATGGCGCTAACAGACAGGCCCAGCCTGGCAGAGCAGTGGCTGGTTCAGACAAATCAAATCAAATGATATTTGTCACATACACATGTTTAGCAGATGTTATTGCGGGTGTAGCGAAATGCTTGTGTTTCTAGCTCCAACAGTGCAGTATATCTAACAATTCACACAATCTAAAAGTAAAATTATGGAATTAAGGAATATACACTACCGGTGAAAAGTTTTAGAACACTTACTCATTCAAGGGTTTTTCTTTATTTTTACTATTTTCTACGTTGTAGAATAATAGTTAAGACATCAAAACTATGAAAGAACACATATGGAATCATGTAGTAACCAAAAAAGTGTTAAACAAATCAAAATATATTATATATTTGAGTTTCTTCAAATAGCCACCCTTTGCCTTGATGACAGCTTTGCACACTCTTGGCATTCTCTAAACCAGCTTCATCTGGAATGCTTTTCCAACAGTCTTGAAGGAGTTCCCACATATGCTGAGCACTTGCGGCTGCTTTTCCTTCACTTTGCGGTCCGACTCATCCCAAACCATCTCAATTTGGTTGAGATCGGTGGATTGTGGAGGGCAGGTCATCTGATGCAGCACTCCATCACTCTCCTTCTTGGTAATATAGCTCTTACACAGCCTGGAGGTGTGTTGGGTCATTGTCCTGTTGAAAAATAAATGATAGTCCCACTAAGCCCAAACCAGATGGGATGGCATATCGCTGCAGAGTGCTGTGGTAGCCATGCTGGTTAAGTGTCACCAGCAAAGCACCCCCACACCATAACACCACCTCCTTCATGCTTTACGGTGGGAAATACACATGCGGAGATCATCCGTTTACTCACACCGCGTCTCACAAAGACACAGCTGTCTTTTTGGACTCCAGACCAAAGGACACATTTCCACCGGTCTAATGTCCATTGCTCGTGTTTCTTGGCCCAAGCAAGTCTCTTCTTATTACTGGTGTTCTTTAGTAGTGGTTTCTTTGCAGCAATTCGACCATGAAGGCCTGATTCACACAGTCTCCTCTGAACAGTTGATGTTGAGATGTGTCTGTTACTTGAACTCTGCGAAGCATTTATTTGGGCTGCAATTTCTGAGGCTGGTAACTCTAATGAACTTATCCTCTGCAGCAAAGGAAACTCTGGGTCTTCCATTCCTGTGGCAGTCCTCATGAGAGCCAGTTTCACCATAGCGCTTTATGGTTTTAGCGACTGCACTTGAAGAAACTTTTAAAGTTCTTGAAATGTTCCATATTGACTGACTTTCATGTCTTAAAGTAATGATGGACTGTCGTTTCTCTTTGCTCATTTGAGCTGTTCTTGCCATAATATGGACTTGGTCTTTTACCAAATAGGGCTATCTTCTGTATATATTCCCCCTACCTTGTCACAACACAACTGATTGGCTCAAACCCATTAAGAAGGAAAGAAATTCCACAAATTAACTTTTAAGAAGGCACACCTGTTAATTGAAATGCATTCCAGGTGACTACCTCATGAAGCTGGTTGAGAGAATGCCAAGAGTGTGCAAAGCTGTCATCAAGGCAAAGGGTGGCTATTTGAAGAAACTCAAATATAACATATTTTGATTTGTTTAACACTTTTTTTGGTTACTACATGTGTTATTTCATAGTTTTGATGTCTTCACTATTAGTCTACAATGTAGTAGGTTTTCTAAAACTTTTGACCGGTAGTGTATAAATATTAGAAATATTAGGATGAGCAATGTCGGAGTGGCATAGACAAAAATACAGTAGAATTGAATACAGTATATACAAATGAGATGAGTAAAGCAAAAATATGTAAACATTATTAGAGTGACTAGTGTTCCATTATTAAAGTGGCCAGTGATTTCAAATCTATGTATATTATGTAACTGGGTGGAAGCCGCCTAGTGATGGCTATTTAACAGTCTGATGGCCTTGAGATAGAAGCTGTTTCTCAGTCTCTCGGTCCCAGCTTTGATGCACCTGTACTGACCTCGCCTTCTGGATGATAGCAGGGTGAACAGGCAGTGGCTCGGGTGGTTGTTGTCCTTGATTATCTTTTTGGCTTTCCTGTGACATAGGGTGCTGTATGTGTCCTGGATGGCAGGTAGTTTGTGAGGGTTTTAGATGCCAAGCCACATTTATTTAGCTTCCTAAGGTTGTCTGTGTGGGTGGACCATTTCAGATCGTCAGTGATGTGTACGCCGAGGAACTTCAAGCTTTCCACCTGCTCCACAGCGGTCCCATCAATGTGGATAGGGGCGTGCTCCCTCTGCTTTTTCCTGAAGTCCACGATCAGCTCCTTTGTTTTGTCGACATTGAGGGGGAGGTTATTTTCCTGGCACCACACCCAGGGCCTTCACCTCTCTGTAGGCTGTCTCGTCATTGTTGGTAATCAGGCCTACTACTGTTGTGTCGTCTACAAACTTGATGATTGAGTTGAAGGCGTGCATGGCTACGCAGTCATGGGTGAACAGGGAGTACAGGAGGGGGCTGAGCACGCACCCTTGTGGGGCCCCAGTGCTGAGGATCAGCGACGTGGAGGTGTTGTTTCCTACCTTCACCACCTGGGGGCGGCCCGTCAGGAAGTCCAGGACCCAGTTGCACAGGGTGGGGTTCACACCCAGGGCCCAGAGCTTAATGATGAGCTTGGTGGGTACTATGGTGTTGAATGCTGAGCTACAGTCAATGAACAACATTCTTACATAGGTATTCCTCTTGTCCAGATGGGATAGGGCAGTGTGCAGTGCGATGGCAATTGCATTGTCTGTGGATCTATTGGGGCGGTAAGCAAATTGAAGTGGGTCTAGGGTGTCAGGTAAGGTAGAGGTGATATGCTCCTTAACTAGCCTCTCAAAGCACTTCATGATGACAGAAGTGAGTGCTACGGGGCGATAGTCATTTAGTTCAGTTTGCTTTCTTGGGTACAGGAACAATGGTGGACATATTGAAGCAAGTGGGGACAGCAGACTGGGATAGGGAGAGCTTGAATATGTCTGTAAACACTCCAGCCAGCTGGTCTACGCATGCTCTTAGGACGCGGCTAGGGATGCCATCTGGACCGGCAGCCTTGCGAGGGTTAACACACTTAAATGTCTTACTAATGTCGGCCACGGAGAAGGAGAGCCCACAGTCCTTGGTAGTGGGTCGCGTCGGTGGCACTGTGTTATCCTCAAAGCGGGTGAAGAAGTTGTTTAGCTTGTCCGGAAGCAAGACGTCGTTGTCTGCAATGTGGCTGGTTTTCCCTTTGTAGTCTGTGATTGTCTGTAGACCCTGCCACATACGTCTCGTGTCTGAGCCGTTGAATTGCGACTCCACTTTGTCTCTATACTGACGTTTTGCCTGTTTGATTGGAATAACTACACTGTTTGTATTCGGCCATATTCCCAGTCACCTTGTCATGGATAAATGCGGTGGTTCGCGCTTTCAGTTTTGCGTGAATGCTGCCATCTATCCACGGTTTCTGGTTAGGGTAGGTTTTAATAGTCACAGTGGGTACAACATCTCCTATACACTTCCTAATAAACTCAGTCACCGTATCCGTGTATTCTTCTATGTTATTCTCGTAGGCTACCCGGAACATATCCCAGTCCGCGTGATCGTCTGATTCCATATCAGGGGGCTTTGTTCTACAGTACAGTGAGGGAAAAAAGTATTTGATCCCCTGCTGATTTTGTACGTTTGCCCACTGACAAAGACATGATATGTCTATAATTGTAATTGTAGGTTTATTTGAACAGTGAGATATAGAATAACAACAAAAAAATCCAGAAAAACGCATGTCAACAATGTTATGAATTGATTTGCATTTTAATGAGGGAAATAAGTATTTGACCCCTCTGCAAAACATGACTTAGTACTTGGTGGCAAAACCCTTGTTGGCAATCACAGAGGTCAGACGTTTCTTGTAGTTGGCCACCAGGTTTGCACACATCTCAGGAGGGATTTTGTCCCACTCCTCTTTGCAGATCTTCTCCAAGTCATTAAGGTTTCGAGGCTGACGTTGGGCAACTCGAACCTTCAGCTCCCTCCACAGATTTTCTATGGGATTAAGGTCTGGAGACTGGCTAGGCCACTCCAGGACCTTAATATGCTTCTTCTTGAGCCACTCCTTTGTTGCCTTGGCAGTGTGTTTTGGGTCATTGTCATGCTGGAAAACCCATCCACGACCCATTTGCAATGCCCTGGCTGAGGGAAGGAGGTTCTCACCCAAGATTTGACGGTACATGGCCCCGTCCATCGTCCCTTTGATGCGGTGAAGTTGTCCTGTCCCCTTAGCAGAAAAACACCCCCAAAGCATAATGTTTCTACCTCCATGTTTGACGGTGGGAATGGTGTTCTTGGGGTCATAGGCAGCATTCCTCCTCCTCCAAACACGGTGAGTTGAGTTGATGCCAAAGAGCTTGATTTTGGTCTCATCTGACCACAACACTTTCACCCAGTTCTCCTCTGAATAATTCAGATGTTCATTGGCAAACTTCAGACGGGCCTGTATATGTGCTTTCTTGAGCAGGGGCACTGCAGGATTTCAGTCCTTCATGGCGTAGTGTGTTACCAATTGTTTTCTTGGTGACTATGGTCCCAGCTGGTGACTATGGTCCCAGCTGCCTTGAGATCATTGACAAGATCCTCCCGTGTAGTTCTGGGCTGATTCCTCACCGTTCTCATGATCATTGCAACTCCACGAGGTGAGATCTTGCATGGAGCCCCAGGCCGAGGGAGATTGACAGTTATTTTGTGTTTCTTCCATTTGCGAATAATCGCACCAACTGTTGTCACCTTCTCACCAAGCTGCTTGGCGATGGTCTTGTAGCCCATTCCAGCCTTTTGTAGGTCTTCAATCTTGTCCCTGACATCCTTGGAGAGCTCTTTGGGCTTGGCCATGGTGGAGAGTTTGAAATCTGATTGATTGCTTCTGTGGACTGGTGTCTTTTATACAGGTAACAAACTGAGATTAGGAGCACTCCCTTTAAGAGTGTGCTCCTAATCTCAGCTCGTTACCTGTATAAAAGACACCTGGGAGCCAGAAATCTTTCTGATTCAGAGGGGGTCAAATACTTATTTCCCTCATTAAAATGCAAATCAATTTATAACCTTATTGACATACATTTTTCTGGATTTTTTTTGTTGTTATTCTGACTTTCACTGTTCAAATAAACCTACCATTAAAATTATAGACTGATCATTTCTTTGTCAGTGGGCAAATGTACAAAATCAGCAGGGGATCAAATACTTTTTTCCCTCACTGCATTACTCATTAGACCCTACTAAATCACCACCATGCGAATCCCTGTGTTCGTGGCACACGGTTACTCTTCTCTCTCTCCTCTTCTCTCCCTCTCGTTCGCTCATGGTTCTCCCACTTTAACCAGCATGACAGGCAGGCTTTTCTGGCCAGCTAATCAACGCTCTGCTCTGTGGCGGGGCGAAAAGCCACAGCGGCGGCATCTCCAATTTACCATGAAATGGTTCCATCACCACAGCCACGAGCACGACACGGCTCATTCGGAAGACCCCCACCCCCCTCCCCCCTCCTCCCAGCTGGGGCGTGGAGCCAGCTGACGTCTATATTGTAGTTGCCAGTCGTTGGCTCGTTGGCTCTGCTCTGGCTAAGGGAAGTATCGCCGCAACAATGAGCCAAAAGACATTGGGATTAGATGTGCTTCTGATGAGGTGCTCAGTGCATCAGCAGTTATTTAATAACTTCAGTGGCTGAGTAGTTTAGGTTTACAGTGGACACAGAGGTAAACTTAATTCCCATCCAAATTGGTGGAGTTATCTATTTCTGGTGAACGTTATGATGACGAAGAGGAAGATTAGCATGCTAGTGGTTGATGATTATGATAAGGATGATGAGGATGCTAACTGTGATGTTATCCATGTTGATGATGTTTTGATAATGGCAATGACAATGATGATGTTGACGGCAACAATGATGTTGATGATGGATTTCATGTATGATTCTCTCTCTCACTGTCTTTGGCAGCCCCAGGACGGCTACCGTTTGGTGCAGCATTTCCAGTTCATCGGCTGGCCTGCCTACCGCGACACGCCCCTGTCCAAGCGCTCCATCCTGCAGCTGGTGAGACGTCTGGCCAAGTGGCAGGAGCAGTACGACGGGGGAGATGGACGCACCGTGGTCCACTGCCTGTGAGTAGTTAAAGGGGCTGGGCTCAGAGGGAGTTCAGTCATTGTATTACGGTGTCAATATTAGGACAGACTCAAATGTTCATGGAAGTTGTATACTCGTACAGTGTCCATATTAGGACAGTCATGCGTCCATGGCCATTGGATACAATGGCCTCATATTTAAACCCAGACAGGATGTGGAGGGGTAGAATTTCTGAAAGTGCAGAAAATATAAGATAAACTAATAAATTGCTGGGATTAACTCAAATTAAACCAAATTGTGCTACTGAAGGTTGTGAAGTTAGTTTTAAACAACGCAACTAATAGACATTTACCTTACTGTTAAGGTAGTGGTGGAAGAACTTCCCTGTATATATTCTGGCTGACCCTACTCATATTCTACACTATCTCAGACAGGATGACAATAGGGAATGTGCTCTATGAATGTATTCATCACTGCATGCTTCCTAAGTGCTGTTTTCTTCTAGAGCAGTGGTCACCAACCTTTTCTGAGTCAAGATCACTTTCGGAGTCAAAAAGCAAGCCGAGATCAACCACTCAGATTTTGTTTTAACGTGACTTAAAAAATGTAAACCTAATAAAAATGGTTCTGTAGGAATGAGGTTTGTGCGGTAGGCCAAATAAATTATCACAGCATATTGGCTATATGCCTGGCCTGCCAATATTGTTCTTCTCAGATCATGTTATACTTCAATACTCAAGCTTTGATAACAAAATAGATCCATTTTTGTAGCACTTGTGAGGCACAGCTGAGCATAAATTGACATCATTTGCTTTTTTATTTTACTGGACTCACGGTACCTGCATCTGATGGTCGGTGTCAGCGGATGGAGAGAGCAGCAGAGGGTCCGCCTCTCACGGTCCCTGCTCTCTCCTTTCCTCCGGTGAGACTGACCAGAGAGAAGGGACACCGTCTTCCACCTGATGGCGAAACTCGAGTCGCACCACATTATTTCTGCCTCATGCACAAATTCATGTTGTTCCTATGACCAGAGAAAGTTAAATATCCCTTGATATTAAAATAGACACGACGAGCTGCTAATTGTAAAAACGCAGGCCTATCGATAAACTTGGCTAGTCATTTATTGCAGCTGCAGTGCTGGTTGTAGCGTGAGTGGAAGTAGGGAGAAGCGTGTTTAAAGTTTTGTAAAAGTGTTGAATAAAAACGTAAACATTAACTCACTCATAAAAACAGCAGCTCTTTGCTATATTCTTTGACAGTCTCTCTCTGATCATGGTTTTAAAAGTTATGAAATATAACGTAGGCTAGTATCAAACTTTACTGTGGGGTCATGGAAGCTGAAGGCACAGTGATTTGACCTATCCGATTGGCCAGCGCAGTAGGCGCACTTGAGCTCTTCTGGTCCGCCGGGTAGGTGAAGTTTGTCCCTTCAGACAAATATAAAAGTTTAAAAGTGCGAGCCCAGCACAAATGGCTTCTGAATCAAGTACACCTAGTGCCAACAGCGCAAGACGAATTGGAAAAAAAATAGGAGCTCAAGGCTTTATTGTTGGCCTTTCTAGAGAAATGTTTGGAATGCCTTGAAGATCGACCTGTTGGGGACCACTGTTCTAGATGATATACAGGGGATGGAAAGTTATTTATATGACTCTCAACCACACTGTTTCTGTTGTGGTGAGAAATCGCTTTTAAAAGGCACATGTAAATAATAGATACTGACATAACAAGAAACACAAGAAAAATCGACAAGGTCCATGGACTATGGCACGTGAAAAAGATGAGATGCACTTGAAATTATAAAGTGATGAGTCAGTGACAAAAAAAGGTTTGAGAGCATCATCACCCCAGGTTCGATTCCAGTTTGTGCTCCTCCACACAGGATTTATTCAAGCCCCTAAGATCCCTCATTAAAACGAATAACCTCAGCTATAAGTTACCGCTCTGTTATGAGTGTCTACAGATGACGTGGTCCTCTGTAGCTCAGCTGGTAGAGCACAGCGCTTGTAACGCCAAGGTAGTGGGTTCGATCCCCGGGACCACCCATACACAAAAATGTATGCACGCATAACTGTAAGTCGCTTTGGATAAAAGCGTCTGCTAAATGGCATATTATTATATTATGTAAAGCTTTTTGGAGCCATTGAATTGGACTGGACTGTGTGGGTCTTTTTTAGATAAGCACCACCAAGGAAAAGTCCAATATTAAGTCCTGCTTCTTTGTCTTAATACAAAGTCTTGTTACAATTCTTAGAAATGTTTCCTCTCCATATCGATGCAGTGACTGTAAATATTAATGTATTTGGTTAGTTTTAGTATCAGTATGACACTTTTGGTTTATAAACCAAGTTAACAGCATTGTCAGCTATAGCCAAGCAAACAGCACCTCTCCCATTCTCACAGTCACTGGCTTCATAGTGATTTAGCCACAGTATGGACCCTATTAGACTAGAGCAAATGAAGCTTAACATGAGGGCGAGTGAGGATGAAAATCCATAGTGGAGACTGATTTCAAGGACCAGCCCCAATGATAACACAACACTGATTAGTCCTGGGTGTAATTTCTCTCCCCACTGCCCAAAATACCAAACACAACCTATTCTGTAACAGTTCACTGATGCTAGTCTAATCAGGTGCCCATTGATTTCTGGAGGCAAAAGAAACGCACACCTGTTTAGGCGAGGTGCTGGCTAGCGTAGTAGAACAATTGAAAAAGAAAAGGAGAGCCTCGCACTCTAGGAACTCAGATACAATAATTGTATAACCAACGTTTCGACATCAGGGACCTCAGATCCTCAAAAAGTTATACAGCTGCACCATCGAGAGCATCCTGACTGGTTGCATCACTGTCTGGTATGGCAACTGCTCGGCCTCCGACCGCAAGGCACTACAGAGGGTAGTGCGTACGGCCCAGTACATCACTGGGGCCAAGCTTCCTGCCATCCAGGACCTCTATACCAGGCGGTGTCAGAGGAAGGCCCTAAAAATTGTCAAAGACTCCAGCCACCCTAGTCATAGACTGTTCTCTCTGCTACCGCACGGCAAGCAGTACCGGAGCACCAAGTCTAGATCCAAAAGGCTTCTTAACAGCTTCTACCCCCAAGCCATAAGACTCCTGAACAGCTAATCATGGCTACCTGGACTATTTGCATTGTCCCCATCCCCCTCAACCCACCCCACCCCCTCTTTTATGCTGCTGCTACTCTCTGTTTATTATCTATACATAGTCACTTTACCTCTACCTACATGTACATATTACCTCAATTACCTCGACTAACCGGTGCCCCCGCACATTGACTCTGTACCGGTACCCCCTGTATATAGCCTCCCTACTGTTATTTTATTTTACTGCTGCTCTTGAATCATTTTTTATTTGTATTTTTTACTTATCTATTTTTTACTTAAGACTTATTTTTCTTAAAACTGCATTGTTGGTTAAGGGCTTGTAAGTAAGCATTTCACTGTAAGGTCTACACCTGTTGTATTCGGCGCATGTGTCAAATACAATTTGATTTGATTTGATCATTGATTTCTCGCACAGCTCAAGTGTTTGTTTGTGTTACGCGTTAGCTTGGCTGTTACTTTACTGCTACACACGACCCGTAACAGTGTGTGCTTGCTTGCGTGTGTGTTTGTATATAGTTTTTTTCACACATTCATTCACATTCATGCCGAAGGAAATGAAAAGAAAGAGGCTAGGCAAGTCGGTGCTTCTTGCACATCATTAGTCTTATCCATGTTTCACGGGGCTCTAAAAATCAACTTATCCAAGGAATCTAAAGTATCCTTCCAAATGATTCAACATTAAGGCAAATAGAAACTCGAATATGAGTGTACCTGCGTACAGTGCCTTTGGTGACAGAACAGAGATTATCTCAGGTGTCATCTATGAAAGAATATAGATGTATGTTTGAAAAAAGTACTGCCTAGAGGCGATAGAGCATTTTAAGTGTGACTATTGATTCTATGGATTAAAGCGACATTATCGGAAACATTATAGGGATGTCTATAAATGGTCAAATATATCATTTTCTCCTAATTGTAAAGAGAGAAAGAGTCTGACAACCCATTTGGCTTTTACATGTATAGTACACTGCCTTTCAGATCAGAATCAAAATCACCTTTATTAGCCAAGGACATTTACACGTACAAGGAATTTGACTTGGTGAAACAGTGCTGCCGGCAATAGATAAAATATGAAGACAGAGGAATTTACACAGTCTACATACAGTATATATACAATTTAGATCAAATAAAGATAGAACTATATATGATAGAAGAGGATATTTTGGGGTGAGCCACAGAATAGTGCAAGGATAGCAAGGAACACAATGTTGTTCAATGGTTACCTATACATTACTTGACCATAATGGTATTAGGGTACCTTCTCTCATTTAGCAACGGTTTCATAATGTATATTATACTGAATAAAAATATAAACACAAAAAATGTATGCACGCATGACTGTAAGTCGCTTTGGATAAAAGCGTCTGCTAAATGGCATATTATTATTATTATTATTATAAACGCAACAAGCAACAATTTCAAAGATTTTGCTGAGTTAGAGTTTATATAAGGAATTAATAAATTAATTAGGCCCTAATCTATGGATTTCACATGACTGGGCAGGGGCGCAGCCATTGGTGGCCCTGGGAGGGCATAGGCCTACCCACTTGGGAGCCAGGGCCAGCCAATCAGAATGAGTTTTTCCCCACAAAAGGGCTTTATTACAGACAGAAATACTCCTCAGCATCCCGCCCCCCTCACCTCAGACGATCCCGCAGGTGAAGAAGCCGGATGTTGAGGTCCTGGGCTGGCGTGGTTACACGTGGTATGCGGTTGTGAGGCCGGTTGGACGTACTGCCAAATTCTCTAAAACCACGTAGAGAAATGAACATTGAATTCTCTGGCAACAGCTCTGGTGGACATTCCTGCAGTCATCATGACAATTGCATGCTCCCTCAGAACTTGAGACATATGTGGCATTGTGTTGTGTGACAAAACTGCACATTTTAGAGTGGCCTTTTATTGTCCCCAGC